CTCACCTCCAGTAAGATGGTGAACTGGCTGGCCCGGTAGTCGTCGCCGTAGGAGTCCAGCACCCTCATGAGGAACCTGCGCCCGGAGAGAAGCCGCCAGGGGACCCCTTCGTCTCTGGTGATCAGGGGAAGGGGCCCCTGACAGCCCGGCTCTGACTCCCTCTGAAGCCAACGTGTCCTTGACCCAGAAGGGCTGGAGCTTTGGGGTCTGAGAGGCCTGGGTGCCAAGCGCCTGACCACCCAGTGGACTTTGGGCAAGAGGTGACTCTACAGCTTAGCTTCCCGCTGTCAACGGGAGGGGACAACGCCGACCGCAGGGACAGCTGTGACATCACCACCAGACCTGACCGGAGAGCACTGGGGGGGTGCTGGCTGAGCAGACGCTCAGGTGGCCGTCATTTGTGTTAATAACTAAAAGGCCAGAGAAGCGTGTGCAGGACACCCCTGGCGACCTCAGCTCTCACAGACTCTGCCTGCTCCTCTTTCCCCGTTCCTGCTTCTAAAAGCTTCCTGTCTTGCCCTGGCCAGTTTGGCTCAATGGATAGAGCGTCAGCCTGCGGACTGCAGGGTCCCAGGGTTCAATTCTGGTCAAGGGCCTGTACCTCAGGCACAGGCTCCTCCCTGACTCAGGCCCTGGTTGGGGAACGTGCAGGAAGCAACCAATGTGTTTCTCTCACATCGATATTTCCCTGTCTTTCACTCTCTCTAAAAAATCATTTATTTTTCAAAATTGCGGTAAGATACAAAATTTACTAATTTAAGCATTTTCTGTTGTCATTAATTCTCACCTGAGGATATTTTTTCCATTGATTTTTAGAGGAAGTGGAAGGGAGGGAAGACAAGAAGAAAGAGAGAGAGAAACTTCAATGTGAGATGCATCGTTAGGCTGCCTCCTGCACATGCCCTGACCGGGGGCAGGAATGGAACCTGCAACCCCCGTTACGTGCCCTTGACCGGGACTCGAACCCAAGACAAGACCCTCCAGAGCAACACTGGCCTAAGGTCAGCGTATTTAAGTGTGCACGCAGCGGCGTGAGGTGGCATTCACACTGCTGTGCAAGCATCGCCCCGTCCATCTCAGACTCTCTTCATCTTTCCAAAGGGCAGCTCTGTCCCTGTGAAACGAGAACTCCCGGTCGCCTGCCCCCAGCAACCACCACTCCTTTCTCTCTGACTCGGTTACTCTAAGTACCTCACCGGGGAAGGTTCTCCCCCTTTTCCTGAGGGGGACACAGAGAGTGACAGTCGGCATCAGATCCCCAGCGGCCGGCCCCAGCCCCAGACTCACCCACCCTGTCCTGGTGACCCGAGGTGGGATGCTCTGAGCTCAGTTCATCCTGGGACCCCCCTGCTTGCTCCTCAGCAGCCTTGTGGCTTCGGCATGACCTTTGCGTCACCCTGAGTTGTCAGGAAACTGGGGCTCTGAGAGGGGGTGTCAACGGGCTCAGAGCTTGAAACGGTCTGTGACTTTTTTTTTGGTATGTCTTCACACAAGAATATTTTCCCATTGATTTTGAGGGAGAGTGGAAGGGAGAGGGAAAGACAGAAACGTCGATGTGAGAGAGACACATTGACTGATTGCCTCCTACAAGAGCCCTGACCAGGGCCCGGGCTGGGACAGAGCCTGCAACCAACTACGTGCTCTTGACCGGAATCGAACCCAGGACCCTTTGGTTCGCAGGCTGATGCTCTATCCACTGAGCCAAACCAGCTAGGGCTGGGTCTGCGACTCCTAAGGCCAGGACCCCTTCCTTTGCTGCCTTCTCCACTCAGAGGGTGTATACCTGCTCCCCCAGGCCCGGGCAGCTCTTTCCTGCTGCAAGACCCAATCCCACTCCTGGTCCCTGCCGGCCTCAGCCCCCCGCCCTCCTCTGCAGCCTCATCTCCTCCTGGGCCCAGACGGCCAGCCGGGCAGACCGGCAAGGTGGAGAAAGGAGACGCACGTGGAGACGGCAGAGGCATGCCGGCCAGGGCAGGTGCCCAAGGGTTACCTCCGCTCCTGCTGGAGTCTCCGTGTTATCCTCTGTACCTGATGGAGCCTGTTCAGGACCCGCTCATTCACCTGCGGGGAGGGGGAGGGCACAGGTCAGCTGCACCCATGCAACGGAGGGTGAGTGCAGCCAGCCCTACTGGGGACCAGGGAGCCAGCCCGAAGGTCATCTTGTGGACTGGAAGGGGCTGTCCCTCCTGCATCTGCTCACACTGGCCTCCACCATGCAGGACAGGCACCTGTGAGGCATCAGCGAGCTGATCTGGGCTGTCCCGGGCGCTCCTAGAGGAGACAGCACTCCAGGTGCCATGCACATCACAGGTGCGGAATAAACGAACGATGCATGAAAGACTCATCCTGCTGGGCAGAGCCTGGGAGGGGGTGGGCACTCAGGCCGGGGGACCCCAAAACGGACCCCACACTCACCTACCTGCTCGATCTCCCTGCAGCGCCGACCTAGCGCCTGGTACTTCCTGCGATTGAGTTCCCGTTGGCGCCGCCGCCGGCCCCGGGCTGCCTCCTCCTCCTCGTCTCGCTCCCGGAGGCTGGAGCTGCCCAGACCCCCAGACACGAACTCCACTTCGGTCTCAAGCTCGCTCTCCAGGATGTGACCACCGAACAGCGGGGGCAGCGCCAGCTCCGAGCCGGGAGGTGCTGAGAACTCCTCAAAGCCCACGGCTGCCATGGTCCTGCAGGGTCAGGGGCGCTCAGGGACCCCGAACCCCCGTCCCCTGCTCCTACCGCCACGCCGGGAGCCCAGGCCCCCAGCCTCTCCTTCAGGGGATCCAGAGTTCAAGCCCTGACTCCGGAGAGAGTTCAGACCCCAGATTCCTCCTCCCAAGTATTTTAGGGAAGTTCAAGGCCCCCCAACCCCTCACTGAGACCCAGGAGTCCAAGCCTCCAACCTCTCCAGTGGTTCTCAACCTTCTGGCCCTTTAAATACAGTTTCTCATGTTGTGACCCAACCATAAAATTATTTTCGTTGCTACTTCATATCTGTCATGTTGCTACTGTCATGAATCGTCATGTAAATATCTGATATGCAGGATGGTCTTAGGCGACCCCTGTGAAAGGGTCGTTCGACCGCCAAAGGGGTCGCGACCCACAGGTTGAGAACCGCTGCTAGACCCCCAGCCTCATCCCCCAGGATGCTTGCTACAGACCCCTGTCCCTAATAATTCTAACCCAAAGCCATTGCACGGACTACAACCCCCATCAGCCCTCAGGGCAAAGCGGGGAAGGTTGCATATTCTGCAGCCGCACTGCCTCTTGGGATTTTCCCCAAAGCCGCTTACCCCTCTCTCTGCTCCAGCTCCATTTCTCCCCGGCTCCCGGCGCGGAACTTCCAACCTTGCAAACCTCTAGGTTAAAGCGGCTCGCAAAACGACACGCCCCATCCGATTCCACAGCCAGGCACCCGGGCCCCGGCCGCTAAGCCTCCTGGGAGTTGTAGT